AAAAAAAGAACCAAACAAAAAACAAATGCCCCTTGTGCCACCTCAACATCATCACATCAAGTGACCATCTCAGAAGCACTTCCCTTCTCCCATCGATGTCCCTCTGGGGGTTTCCTTCCACTTAGTTCAGACTTCCTTCCTCTGTCCAAGTGAGTCACTTGTGTCACAGGGTCCCCACGTTAACCTCGCTTCTTCTCTACCTCACATTCCCTTTCTCTCCTCAAATTCTCGTCCTTGGCCTCAGATTGCTCTGCTACTTCAGTTCCTCCACTTCCGCCTCGGTGAAACCCCTTTCTGCCTCAATTTCCCTCTCTGCGCCTCAGGGACTGCTCCTCGGCGGTTCCCTCTTTGCTACCCGAGGCTCCGAGGGGCCCCGCCTCAGTTTTCTCCTCCCAGCCACTGACCACACGCTCCCGGCCCGCGCCCTCCCAGCCTAACCCTACCCGGCTGCTCCAGGTTCAGCGCCCCCAGGCGGCGGATGCTCTCCTCATCCAGATCCCACTGCTCCGCCATTCCCGCCTGCCGCTCACCTGCCGCCGCCCGCGAGATCTCCCCGCCCACGCCAGACCCCGCCCCTCGAGCTGCCCCGACCACCTCCCGGCCCCGCCCCCCGCGCGTGACGCGGCTCTCCCGGGGGCCGTTAGTGCCTGGGTCACGCGGCCGTCCGCCCGCCCGAGGAGTCGCGACCATGGTACGGAGCTCATCCTGGCGGGGGCGCCAAAACCACTAAACTGGCGAATGGGAGAAGCTGGGGCCCAGATTAGATCTGGGGCGCTGGGATTCGAGGGTGGTCCGGGCTTTGAAAGATTTTGGGGGAACTAGCTCTGAGGAATTGGAAGGGTGCGCTGCCTTCATGGATGAAGTGTTCTAGATCTCAGGATCTGGGGGATTTCAGTTCTGAGGGGATGGGAATGTGCCTCTTCATAGGGGTGCAGGTCTTAATATTTCAGCCCCCGCAGTGCTGACTCTTGGAGCCAGGCGCTGTCGGGTGTGAATGGGGGGTCCAGATCTGAAGGACTGGGGGAGCAGGGACAGACTTCTGAGGCATGCTGGGGAGATTCCCGAATTGGAAAGTTGGGAAACTTGGCTCTGAGGGAGTTCAGGTCCTGTCTTTAGAGAGAGATGGTTTCAGCTCTAGAACTTGGTTTAAAAAGAGCTCCTTTGTGGGAGAGGGATCGTATGCTCCTCGGGGTGTATGGGAATTACTATTTTAAGGATGCCCGGTTTCCTGCAAACAGTCTGGGAAGAATCCATTTGTCTTTCAAGTGTCACAGGCTCCCCAGGCTTACCTGTGACTGAGGGCTCACCAACCCCTTAGCAGACTTTGGGGAAGAATGCTCTGGAAAGAACAATCACACCCTTAGCGACTACCCTCGCACTAGGGGGCACTTCTTGGGAGCCCTGCTGTGAATGGGATGTGTTTAAGGAAACAAACTCTTGGGCAAAGACCCTCTTGTCATATCCTATCCTTAATAAGAAAAGAGGAGCTGAGTCCAGAACTGGAGCTTACCTTCAAGGAGCAAGTTTTTTTTAGTATCCAAATTCTGCACACTCTTAAGTACTTTCATTGAGCTCTCAACCAGTTAGTCACCTTTAAGAACAGAAAGCAAAATCTGGAGTCCTTACATATATATGCTCATACACAGTAGTCACATGCCACTTCCCACATCCCAACCCCAACCTACCCAGCCCTAGGCGACCACTAATGTACTTTCCTTCTTTATAAATTTGACTCTTCTTCACATTGCATGAAATTGAATCATATAATATGTGATCTTTTGTATTTGGCTTCTTTCACTGAGCAAAATGTTTCAAGATTCATGCATATTGTAACATGTATCAATACTTTATAATACTTTGTATTAACAACAATGATCTATTGTATGGATATATGGATATAGTACATTCATCAGTTGATGAACAAATTCAAC